TGTAATAATATATAAAAGTAAATTATATTATTTTTAATATTTATTTTTTTTATTTGCTATAATAATAATAATAATTTCAATATATAATAATAAAAACATATTTACTTCAATATTTAATTTATATATAAATATATATAATAAAAATAAAAATATAAACTAGCAATTTAAACTAAAAAATAAAAATATAAAAGAAAAAGAAAAAGAAATGGAAAAAGAAATAAAAAATAAAATAAAATAAAAAATTAAAAAAAAAATAAAAAAAATAAAAAAAAATAAAAAAATTAATTGAATTAATCTTTTTTTTTTTTTTTTTTTTTTACCCTTATATATAAATATATATTAATAATTATCTCTCTTAATCTTAACATTATTTCTTAATTAATTCATATTTTTTCGTATATATATAGTATATAGTATTATAGTAATAATAACAAATAATGAAATAAAAATTAAGAAATTATTATTTGAAAAAAAATTTATACGAAATAGTGTTGAGTAAAATATATATTTATATTTATATGTATATGTGTATATATAAATTTTTAAATTTTAAATTTTAATTTAAATAAAAAGTATATATATTTTATTCTTTTTGTAACGCTTAACTAATTAAAAGTAATTTATTGTAATTTGTAGGTATTGAAGATTGAATTGGGGGTAGGTTGTGTTGTTGGGTTATGTTGAGTTGAATTTTTTTTTTTGGTTTGATTTGGTTTTGATTTTGATTATGATTTTTTCTTTTTTTTTTTTTTTTTTTTTTTTTGTTTATGATTTTGTTGTTGTAATTATTATTGTTATTGTTATTGCTATTTTTTTTTTTTTTTTTTTTTTTTTGAGGATTTAAAAAAAAAAAAAAAAAAAGATTAAGCTGTTGAAGCTGGTTCATTATTAGCTGGAGCAGAAGTATCCGTATTTTCATTTTGTGCCTTCTTCTCAAGGTTTAAACGACGTTGCTTTTCAGCTTCTAATTGTTCATATATTAATTGTAAAGCCTTATCAATATTTTCAGATGTACCAGTAATAGTAAATTCTCTTACTTTACTACCATTCTTACTTGCATCAATTGGTGAAATATTAATTTTAGATCCAGATACATTTCTAATTTCTGTAATTTTCTTTCCACCCTTACCAATAATACAACCAACCATATCAGCTGGGAAGTTAATCTTTCTAACATCAAGATCAGCCTTTGATTTATTATTACCGTTCTTACGTTTATCGTTAAAGTTAGAATTTCCATTAGAAGAATGATTATCATGATAGTGGGAATCATGATTAGCATTATTATTATTATTATGTTGTTGTTGTTGTTGTTCAAAGGCACGATATTGATTATATACAGTACTAATATTATTTCTAAGCGTTGGAGTATACTGAATACAATATGTCTTTTCGGTATCATTTAAAATACATTCACCAATCTTATGAACAGCAATATGAATAGCATCAACAGTTCCTATGATATCAATTACACGTTCTGTTGATTGTGGTAACATTTCCTTTGAAGCTATAATACGTGCACCAGAAGCTTCTCTAATTTCCTTAATTTTAACACCATTCTTACCAATAATGGAACCTAATAATAAATGATTAATTAATAAATGAATAGCTGTTACTGGATCATTAGTACCATTATTATTATTATTATGATTATTATTTGTGAAATGATTTAAAAAGTTAAATTGATTGCTATAGATGTTTGTGCATGGAACACTAGCGTTTTCTAATAAATAATTAGCAAAAGATGAATAAGCCTAATTTATAATTTGTAATTATTACAATTTTTTTTTTTTTTTTTTTATTTTATTTTATTTTTAATAATCAAATTAGTTAAAACAAATAAAATTCATTAAAAAAATTAATTAATAATAAAATAAAACAAAAGATAGTTATTAAAAATATAGATAGATAGATAGATAGATAGATATTGATATTGATATTGATATTGATATTGATATAAATAGATTCAATAATTAAATTATTTTATAATATTATAAAAAATATATATATATATATAATAAAAACAAATAATTGATTGTTAGTATTTTAAAAAAAAAAAAAAAAATTCATAATATATATATATATATATTTATATTACATTTTTCAATAATATAAATTTACTATTTTATTATTCTTATAAAAAAAAAAAAAAAAAAAAAAAAAAAAAAAAAAAAAAAAAGTAATATATATATATATATAAATATTTAGAATTTTTCTTTTTTAAAAGAAAATAAAAAAAAAAAAATTTACCTTAGCAACACTATCTAAGTTACCAGTAACAGTCAAAATTCTTTCATTAACACCAGTAACAACTTTAGAAACAGCAGCCTTAACACCAGTAATTTCACGAACTTCAGTAACATTTTTACCTCCCTTACCAATAATGACACCAGCATCTCTGATAGTAACTAAAGAACGTAAACTAAGGAAATTAGAATCAGTATTTTCTGGCTTTTTAGCTGTGTCAGTAGTAGTCGTTGCAGGTACTTCATTTTGTTCACTAACAGTTAAAGTATCTGGATTATTTAATAAACCAGTGAAACTAGCGATATCATAAGTTGGTTCTTGAGCCATTTTTTTTTCTCTTTTTAAGTATAGTCTAATAAAATAATTTAAGTTTTTTTTTTTTTTTACATTAAAAAAAATAATATTTATATTAACGTTACTAAATTATTTATTTGCTTATTTACAATTTAAAATAATTATTAATGTTATTTATTTATTTATTTATTTTCTTTATTTTTTTTTTTTTTTTTTTTTTTTTTTGAATGAATGAATGAATGAATGAATTAATTAATTTATTCTCTCTCTATAAATATCAAAAATAAATTTTGCTAAATTGTTATTTACTTCTTTTTTTTTTAGTTTAGTTTAGTTTAGATGATTTTAATCTCTATATTAAATATAGTATTTTATAAAAACCTTAAAACAATCCTTTTATTAAATTTTTATATTAAATAAATTCTTTTTATATCAATTTCTTTTAACTAGTGTTAGTATTGATCAACCTCTTTACTTTTAAATAATGATCCATGAATTATTATTTTTATTAAATTACTTTTTCATTTAAATTAAAATTAAAATTTTAAATTAAAATATTGACTCTTTTATCTTCTTTCTGCTTTAGTTATTTATTATTTTTTATTGTAGTTATTTTATTTACTTTTTTTTTTTTTTGTTTGTTTGTTTGTTTTATTATTAAATGAATATATATTTCAAAATTTATAATACATCAAATATTAAATATTTATATATAATGGTACTAGTTTATTGATATCTTTATCTTTTACTTTTTTTTTTTTTTTTTTTTTCTGTTTGTTTGTTTGCTATCCTATTCTTATGTGAATTTCTTTCATTTCTCTTTTCTTTTTTACATTGTTAATTTTTTTTTATTATTCTTTTTTTTTTTTTTTTTTTTTTTTTTGAGTTTTTAATATTAAAATAAACATTGAAATACTTATAATGTTATTTATTTATTTTTTTTTATTCCAATTCTTTTTAGAAAAATTTAATCAATATTATTTGCAACTCTTAAACTCTTTACTTTACAGATATTCATATATATATAGTTTTTTTTTTTTATTTTTTAATTATTTTTTAAAGAAGTCTAAATTATTTGTTATATAATATGATATTTTAAAAAATAAAATTAATATTAATATTAATATAGTTTACCTATTATGTAATGATAATAAAATAAAAATAAAATATAATAATGATAATAATAAAGCTGAAGTTTTAAAATATGAAATAAAAAATAGATTGGCAGTTTAATATTTAAAATATTTGGTAAAAATTAAAAAAAAAAAAAAAAAAAAAAAAAAAAAGTATATATATATATATATTTTATTGATAAAGGATTTTTAAAATGGTGAATTTGTTGAAGGTTTTTTTTTTTTTTTTTTAAAATGATTATATAAAATTATTTTTTTTGTTTTGAATTAAGGATAAAACAGTTTTAAACCTTTATATATACATTACAATATAAATATAAAATAAAAAAATATATACTAATTAATAAAAACTTTTTATTTATTTTTTAAAGATTTATTTATTCCTTTTTATTTTACTTTTAATTGACAATCTATATATATATATATATTTCCTTAGCAAATATTTAATTTCTATAATTAATATTGATAATAAAAAAAAGGTATAATAAAAAATTTAATAAAAAAAAAAAAAAAATTATAAAAAATAAAATTTCAATAAAAGATTAATCTTAATTACAAATTAATATATTAAAATTTAAATTAATAAATTTTTTAATATAATTTTTTTTTTTTAAAAAAAAAAGAAAAATAATACAAATTAATATCTATTATAAAAAAAAAATAAAATTTAATATTTATTTATGTAGAGATTTCATAAAAAAAAGAAATTTTTAATTAATAGGTTATTAATTATTAATAAATACTATAATATATATTTAAATATATGCATATATATAAATTTATTTATTTAATAAATTTATATAATCTGTACTTTTAAAAAAAACCTTTAATTAAAATAAAATTTAAATAGAGGTAAAAATTATTGAATGAAAATAAAATTTAAATAGAGGTAAAAATTATTGAATGAAAAAGTATATTTAAATACATATATTTCATGATTGAAATAATATATAATGAATGGTAAAGTTAAATAATAATTGGTAATTGAATAATTATTATAATATTATAAAAAAAAAAAATAAAAAAAAAAAAGAACGAACTACTTTCATATATATATAATAAGAATTTATAATAATAAATAATATATTTATAATAAAAAAATAAAAAAATAAAAAAATAAAAATAAAAATAAAAAAAAACTTTACATTTACTGAAGTCGAAATATATTTAAAAGCTTTTTAATAAGTGATTGAAATATTTAATATATCCAATAATTTTTTGATTAATTTTTTTTTTTTAATTTAAATTAATTTAAATAAATATATATAAAAATGTGCAACAATGTTATTTTATATAAAATAAAATTATAAAAAATATTGTACTCCACACCCGAGATGGGACTCGAACCCACAATCTTTTCCTTAGGAGGGAAACGCCTTATCCATTGGGCTACACGGGCAACTAAGCACGCTAGCTAAAATTATATTAACTAAATAAATGTTATATATATATTTTTATAATTTTTTTTTTATTAAGATAATTAAATGAATTTCAATTTCAGTTTCAATAATTCCGTTATTTGAATTTCTATATTAATAAACAATAATATATAATACATATTATTATATTAACTTTATTAAAATATTTAGGAAATACTAATTTGACTAAATATTACTTGATTAAAAGCTAACCTATTGAAATCAATCTTATACATTAAATAATGTAATCACATGATTGATGATATTAATTTATTATCAAAATCTTCACATATTATATTTTTATAATTAGTAATTATTCTTCATTAAACGAAATAGAATATATTTAATTAATATCATATTCTTATATTTTTATTATTTATATTATTATCTTATTTTATATTATCAATATTAAACTTATATTAATGCTATTCCATATTCATATGAATAATTAATATTTTAATAATTAATTATTTTACATAAATACATGTTTAAATCTTTTGATTAATCCTTTGTCAGATTATTGCAATTTAAATTATAGTAATAATTATATAAAATAATCATATAATAAAATATTTAAAATATTATTAAGATTAAATAAAATTTTTTAAATAAATACTTATAAAATTTACCAAATAATTAATATGTTTTAATATAAAATAAATTTTACTAAATAACAATATATTTTAATATAAAATAAAATTTATAAATAACAATATGTTTTAATATAAAATAAATTTTACTAAATAACAATATGTTTTAAATAAAAGAAAATTTAAGTTATAAATTAATCAATTACTATAATAATTTGGCATCATGACCTAAATCATGAAGACCAAATTATCTTAAAACTCTAACTTTTTTTTTTTTTTTTTTTTTTGATCATGAATATTGAAGGATTTACGATTGATTAAAATTTACTAAAAGATAGGATCAATTTGAAATTAAAAAAAAAAAAAAAAAAAAAAAGATGAAAGGAATATTTAATAGTTTAGAAACCAAAGGGTTTGGACTAATTTAATAAAGATGAGAAGAGAGACATTTCGCCAGGTTGCATTTCAACAATTGAAAATTATTATGAATAAATAAATAAATAATTAATTTAAATTATTACAAATATTTTAAAAGTAAACATTTAAATATTAAAAAAAAATAAATAAATAATATTATAAATAATATTAAAATAATAATGATTATTAAATAAATATTAACAAAATAATTGGAAGCGTTGTAATTTCACCAAGTGGCGTATTGGTAAAAAGTTGCATTTTAGTAATACGTCACTTAGCGAAAGGCAACTCGCTCCAATAAAGGTATTTCACTTTAATGATAACTTAAAAGAAATTGATAAAAAAAAATTGAAAAAAAAAAAAAATAACAATAACTTTCCAAAAAAAAAAATAATTTAATTATTTATTTAAATGATATATTAGTTTTACATAGATTTTTATAATAATTATAAATAATAATTAAATAATTTCTAAAACATACTAATGAATTTATTACAATTCTAAAATTTTGATCAGCTATAAGATCTTAAATCATATTATTTTTAAATTATTTTATTTTTATATTATTTTATTAAATAATTATAGAGTTAATTTGTTGAAAGCTTTTAAAAATATGATTTTAGTATTATATTTTATATAATCAATATACATGTATATATATATATTTAAATGTATTAATTACATTGTTAATTATTATTATTATTATTATTATTATTAAAATTGCAATCTTTTATTATTATTATTATTATTGCAATCTTTTATTATTATTATTAAAATTGCAATCTTTTATTATTATTATTATTATTGCAATCTTTTATTATTATTATTAAAATTGCAATCTTTTATTATTATTATTGTTATTGCAATCTTTTATTATTATTATTAAAATTGCAATCTTTTATTATTATTATTATTATTATTATTATTATTATTAAAATTGCAATATTTTATTATTATTATTAATATATTTTATTTCTTATATATATATTTTTTAAGCTTCGGATCAGTCTAAGTTTATTATGTTAAAAAAATTATATTAATTAAATCTAATCTTTAATACCATTATTTATTATATTTATTGGTTAGATTTATTAAAAAGTAATAAAATTTTTTAATATTTTGGGTTAGAAATTAAAAAAAAAAAAATTTAAATATTAAGAATGATTATAAAAAATATAAATTTATTTATTAGTAAATTAGTAATTTTAGTTTACTATTTAATTAACATTTTAATTAATATTTTTTTTATTTAATTACAACTTTTATAATAATTTTTAATTATTAAATAGTTTATTTTTTTATTAATAGGATATATTGTTATATTGTATAGTTTATATAGCATATGAATATAGTTTCAAAATTTTATAATTTTTATAAACCTCTTTTATATAGTTATTATGAAAAAAAACATGTATTTAAGGTATTGTAATATGTATGATCCATCAAATGTATTTTATATGTATAAATATCATTAAATTAAATTTTTTATTTCAAATAAATAAAATGTGTAAATAAAATAAATATTGAGATTTTTATCAGATTAAGCGTCTTATTTGACTCAACAAGTTTGTGTAGAAATTTAGAATACTTTTTTTTTAATTAGGAAATTTAGTAATTTAATAATTTAGTTATTTAGAATAATTAGAATATTTAAGATTAATGACACTTAAATATACACCTACATAAATAAGAAACATATTAGAATTGGGGAATTTATCATTTACATGCTTCCTATATAATTTAGTAATAGTACTTAGTAATTAGAAATAGTGATTAGTAATTTTTAATTTAATTAAATAAAATTCATTAAAAATAATATTAACAATAATATTAAATATATATATATATATTTTTAAGATGACCGGAACAACAAGAAATAGCTTCTTTAAAGAATAGGGAATATGAGAGATACAATAATAATAATGAAAAAAAAAAAAAAAAAAAAAAAACCTTATAAAAAAACATAAAACATAAAACGGAACAATTCAGAAATCAAAAAAAAAAAAAAAAAAGAAATAATTTCAGGTAAGGGAAATAAAATAAAATAAAATAAAGAAAGCGACATTGAATGATGTTACCATCGTGATTCGGATAGAGAAAGCAATATTAATCGAAATAAAATGAAAGAAATAAAAAATTTTCGTTGAACCAATAAATAAATAATATCAAGGAAATAAAATATTTATGTGAATAATAAATACTAATACTAACTTTAGATGATTATCATGATAATCAATACTTAGATGTTGAAACGATAGATGATACCAGACAAATCAAATTTTGATACAAACTATTTAGTTGAAAGTAACCAATTTAAAAACGATAACATCTCGAATAAAACAGAAACCACTACTATTTTTTCAAAAAAAAAAAAAAAAAAAAAAAAAAAAAAAAGAAAAAAAAAATAAAACAATAATCATTATGAATTAAATAATTATTTTAATTAATAATATTTATGATACCAATAGATATGATGATGGTAACTCTAAGGATTTTGGCATGAATAATAATATACGCAATAATGCGATAACAGGTATGAATAATAATAGTATTATGTTTCAAATAGTTATCAAAATTATAAAAATAAAATATATATAAATTTTCATAAAAAAAAAAAAAAAAAAAAAAAAAAGGAAAAAATTACTATTAATGAATGATATATATATATATATTTATTTTTTAGTCTTTTTTAATGATAATTGAATTTCTTTTAAGAAATGGAGTTGAGAGAATAAACGTTTTAAAAAAAAAAAAAAAAACAGTTTTAATTAAAAATTTATAATTAATATTTTACTTTTATTTATTTATTTTATTTTTAGATTGTTTTAAATTTTATATATATATATATATATGATACCTACACCTATGTCATACCATGTATTAAGTTTTATTGTAATACACACAATATCAACAAACGATGAGTTTATTAAACTTAGTTATATATATATATATATATATATTTTTTTTAAAAAAAAAAAAAAAATTTAATTTATATTAAATAATAATTATTTAAAATTATTAAAGAATGACAGAATTATCTTTTTATGCATTCATTAATTAAAAAAAAAATTTTATTATTTAAAAAAAAAAAAAAAAAAATAAAAATAAAGTTTAATAAAATTAACATATAAATTTGTAATTAATTTTTTTTTTTTAAGAATTCAACTATTATATATATAATACATGTTTAACAGTAATAGTGGTTATCATTTTATTTTTATTATTATTAATATAATTGTTTTTATCATTATATAATATATTTAAGAATTAATATTTATTATTTATTATGCATTATTATTCCTTTAAAAGAATCAAAAAAAAAAAAAAATTATTGATAAATTAAATGAATATTTTAAATTATTGTGAATGCTTTTAGTGAGGACTTTTTTTTCTTTTTTAGGAAATCTTTTAGGAAATCATTAAAAAAATATGTATATATTATTATTATTATTTATACAAAAATAAATGAGAATAATAATTATAGATAATAATAAAAATAATAAAAATAATATATATATTAAAAGTATCATTTATAATACTACTATGACTACTACTAATAATAATATCAAAAATAAAAGCATTTTTTTCATTATAATACATTTTTTTTTTATTATAAAAAAAAAAAAAAGGAAATTTCGAATGGGTCGTTACTGAGAGAGAGATAAGAGATGAGAAATGACTCTCCATAAGATACAAGATCATTTTTATATATATATATATATATATGTATATATAAAATTTATATAAATATATATTTTTTATAGAATTTTCCTTTGAATTATCCAAAAAAAGTAAAAAAAAAAAAAAATTAAAGTTATATTTTATTTGAATTAAATAAATAATTAAGTAAATAACTAGATAACTAAATAACTAACTAATTAAATATATACAAATAAATAAATATACATATTTCATATTTAATATGTATTTATTAGTTATTATTGATTTCTACTTTTGTTATTTATTTTTATTTA